ATGGATGAATGGATAAAGAGGAGGTGGTACATATCTACAATGGAATATTGCTCGGCCATGGAAGGGCATGGGCTCTCGCCATCTTTGACAGCATGGATGGACCTGGAGGTTACTGTGCTGAGTGGAGTATGCCAGAGAAAGACAGATGCAATGTGATTTCACTCACATGTGCAATCTAAAGAACAGAATAAACAAAACAGAAACAAATTAATTGATACAGAGAACATGTTAATGGTTGCCAGATGGGAGGGGGTTGGGGGTGAGTAAATAAGGGAGAGAAATTAAGAAGTACATATAAATTAGTTGTTACACAGTAATCATGGGAATGTAAGGTATAGCATAAGGAATATAGTCAATAATATTGTAATAACTATGTATGGTGCAGATGGGTACTAGATTTGTTGGGGTGATAGATGGGAGTGGGTTGGGGGCAGGGTGAAAAAGGTGAAGGGATTAAGAAGTAGAAACTGATAGTTAAGAAAATAGCCATGGGGATGTAAAGTAAAGTACAGGGAGTATAGTCAATATTATGGTAATAACTACGTATAGCACCAGGTGGGTACTAGACTAGTCAGGGGGATCATTTCTTAAATTGTACAAATGTCTCACCAGATGCTGTACATCTGAAATTAATATAAACTAATATTGAATGTCAACTGCAATTGAAAAATTAAAAAAGTAGGGGAAAGGCGAAGGGGAATAAGAGGTCCAAATTTCCAGGTATAAAACAAGTAAGTCATGGGGATGTAATGTACAGCACAGGGAATATAGTCAATAATATTATGGTAGCATGGTACGGTGTCAGATGGTTGCTGGACTTATCATGGTGATCACTTCTTTAGGTATATAAATGTTGAATAACTATGGTATACCTGAAACTAATATAATATTGTATATTAGCTATATTTTAATAAAAATCTTAAAATAAATTGAAAAAAATGTAAAAAGAATGAAGTATTGATACATGCTATAGCATAGATGAATCTTGAAAATATTATGCTAAGTGAAATGAGAGAGTCACAAAGGCTACATATTGTATGATTCAATTTATATGAAAAGTCTAGAACAGGCAAATCTATAGAGACACAGAGTGTAAATTAGTGGTTGCCTGCAGGTGGGGGTAAGGGGTGGGAATGAGGAATAAGTATGATATTTCCTTTTGGGATGATGATATGTTTTAAAATTAGATTGTGGTGGTGGCTGCACAACTCTATGAATATAATAAAAACAACTGAATTGTAAGCTTTAAATGGGTGAAGTTTATGGTAGGTGAATTATATCAACAAAACTGTTAGAAAAAAAAATCATATAGCTAGTAAGTGGCCATGCAGGATTTCAAACCCAGTATATAGAAAGGGAAGGTACTCAATAAATGTTTGTTGAATGAATAAATAGATACTTTCCACTTTCAAATTAGCAACAAGATAGGGATACCCTCTATCAAGTATCATTCAACATTGTTCTGAAAGCTCTAGCTAATGCAATAGAAGATGAGGTAATCAGAACAAATATTTGAAAGGAAGAGAGAGTATCATTGTTAACAGGATGTGATATGATATTACATCTAAGAAGACTAACAGAGTATGAAAAATGATTGGAATTCTCATGAAAATTTGATAAGGATTAGACAAGAAATAAAATACAAAAAATGAAATTACAAAAATTGACAGATTTATTTCCTATGGGAAAAAAAATATGCTATGCACCATGATGACAAAAACAAATGTAAAATATCTAAGAATGAACATTTTTTTAAAAGGTGCTGGATCTATAAGAAACTATAAAATATTATAGTTTTAATGGTTATTTTATTTTTTTCTAGCTGAGCCATCCTGCCACCTGTTGGCAGCTCAGCGGCAGCTCAGCTCGGGCTGGGAATCGAACTGGCGACCCTGTTGCTCAGAGCTTGCACTCTTGAGCGAGCTCTTAACCAACTGAGCCACTTGGCCGGCCCTTAATGTTTATTTTTGAAATGAAATAAAGTGGTTTTAACATTCATATGTCAGAAAAAATGCTAAAGAATATTAAAGAAAAAAAACAAAAAAAAAAACCCAAAACAGTGAGGGGACTAGCACTATTCAGTATTAAAAGAATTTCTAAAGTCAATACAATTTTTTGAAAGGGAGTAGATACACATATCAGAAGGAAAATAGAGTTCAGAAATAGAACAAAATCCTTTGGGAATTTATGTAACAAAAGTGGCATTTAATTGAGTTAGAAAAGGGTATTCATTTAATGATTGGTGCTGGAAAATTTTTCATCCAAATGGAAAATACAAACTTTGATCCTATCTCACACCACACACCAGAATAACTTCTAGTTGGATTAAAATTTAACTTTAAAAATTAAAACCATAAAATGTCAAATTTAAGGCATATAGGGGCAGCCGGTTAGCTCAGTTGGTTAGAGCGCAGTGCTCATAACACCACGATTGCTGGTTCTACCCCCACATGGGCCACTGAACTGTGCCCTCCAAAACTAGATTGAAGACAACTACTTGACTTGGAGCTCATGGGTCCTGGAAAACTCACTGTTTCCCAATAAAAAAATTAAAAATTAAAAATTTAAGACATATATTTATTTAAGCATGAAGTGGGGGAAAACTCACTAGGCAAGGCAAGACACTCAGAACCTGTAAAGGAAAAAGACAGTTATGTCTAATCCGATGATTATTCTTTCTAATTATATGTGATAACACCTTATAAAAATCAAGATATAAAAGACAAAGGAAACATAATTACAAGAAATAACACAAGGTTAATATTCACAAATTAGTAAGAAAGACAAACCATCGAAATGAAACAAGAGTAAAGGATATGAAAAAATTTAAAGTTAGAATCAATGGCCAATAAATGGAAAAAGATGAGGTCTAGTTGTCAGGAAAATGTACCTCAAAGTAGGCTATATACTCTTGTATTTGACTCTCAGAACGGAAAAATTTAAAAAGTACTAGCATCCAGTGTGGAAGAGGATCTTGGAATGAGCTGTTCTATATGTTGCTGGTGGGAGTTTCAATTTTATAAATTTTAGAAAATAATTTGGTGTTACGTGTTGAACTTAAAAACATCCATTCCTGCACTTAATAATCACTCAGATGACAGTCTCTGACTGTAATTTAGAAATCAGTAACAAAAATTTCAACTTTTGGAGAAATCATAATCTTTTACCTAAATAACCTAGAGGTCAGAGAGAAAACCACAACAGGAATTGGAAAACAGAAGAGAACCACAGTGAAAATGTTACATATCAAAACTTGGGACATGGAGCTAAAATGTTCTCAGAGACAAATTCATGAACTTAATGCTTATACTATAAAAGACAGTGACTGAATATTAATGAGATAAGCATTCAGTAGCAATTAAGAAATAAGACTACAAGGAAAAAAACACAGAAAATAATGAAATCAAGGGCAGAAACTAATGACACAAAAAACAGATACAGGAGGACCAACAAAGTCAAAAGTAGGTTTTTGAAACAACCCCATCTCAGACCTAAAGAACACCTATCACTGACCCCATGAAGCAGCATACAAGTATATGATTAAGTAGGCCCCTCCATCACTAATCCCAAATAAGCGCATCACTCACCCCATGGAACCCAATCACTCACACCACAGAAAACTTGACCACCCACCCAATAAACCCCATCACACACCTCACAGATCCTGCATCACTCACCCCACAGTCCTCATCACTAACTCATTGACTCCTTAATTCTCACCCTCTAGACTCTCCACCATTCACTCCACAGACCACCCATTTACTCTCCCCAAAGACTCCCATCACTTACCCCACTGAACCACCCCCCATCATTCATCTTACAGACCTCCATCACTAATCCAACAGCCCACTCATCATACCCCAGAGACCCTATCACTCACACCATTCCTTACTTCACTAACCCCTTATCACTCACCACAGGGATCACTTATCCCACAGATCCAATCACTTAACCCACAGAAGCCATCAATGACCTCTAAGGATCCCAATCAGTGAGCTATGAGGATCCTCATTGCTGACCACAGATATTACATTGCTCACCCTATAGACCCCGGATCACTGATCCCACAAACCCTCCAATATTCACCCCATAGTTCCCCCATCACTCACACCACAAACTGCACCAATTACCCCACTGAACCCCCCCATCAGATTACCCGTTACTTTCCCTACTGACTCCATCACTCACCCACAAGCCCCTTTCAGAAACTCTATGCACATCCTAAGTGACCCCAGAGAAGCCTCATCGTTGACCCTAAAGAGTACCATTACTGAGTACGGAATCCATGTTACAACACCCCATAATTATGTCAATGCTTTACTGGCCCTAAATTGCCACCCCGGTTAAAACCAGGCAGGAAACCCTAAGTGTTGAATGTGTCTCAGAGGGACTCTCCCGTTTCTGGACCTCATCCTGCACACGCTCAGTGTCACTTGGGAAGCGGCCGTCCGCCTGCAATAACACCCGGTGCACTCACGACACGTTAGTGCGTGTGCGTGTGCGTGTCGGAGGAGAGGCGGGCTTTCAAATTTTCCTTACTGGCTTTGTCAAGCAACTAACATGGCTGTCCCCATGGGAGTGTCTCTCCGGGAGTCGCCATCTTGAAAAGGTGGTCATTTCTGCCACGGAGCTGGCGGTACCCTGCCGGATCTCCCACTGTAGGACTTCCCAGTAGCGGATGGGGCCAGCCGCGAGCCATGCCACCTGGACTTCTCCCACCGCACTGTCCCCAGCAGCCGCCGATGCGCAGGCCGAGCGCTGTCCCCTCTCAGCGCGCGGGGGCTCGGCCCTCATCCGTATCCCCGGGGGAGCCACGGCTGCTTCTTCCCCCGTCCGTAACCCCCGCCCCATCCCGGCTGGAAAGACTCCTCGCAGCAGCTGGTCCAGAAATAGGCCCGCCCCTGCCCCGGCCCCCTCGCGGCCCCTGTGCTCCCAGGACTGTCCCCGTTTTGCGCGGGCGGCTGGCGGCTGCAGAGCCCAGAGCGCCGCTTCTTGCCCACCTGACGGAGCCTCTTGTCCACCCGTCCGCTGAGGGCATCGCCCGGGTTCTCTGCTGTCACCGACCCTGGGTCGTTGCCACCGGGGAATAGTACGTGTCAGATTTAGGCCAGGAAGCAGAAGTCGCCCGTAGCGAGAGTTTAACCACTCTGGGCGCGGTGAGCTGAGGTGATGGAGCGCCAGACACCAAGTATCTGTGGAGGGAGTAACTGGGAGTCTGTGACATCGATAGTGGAGCGTGTCATCGAATTTTTAAAAATCGAGTCATTAGCCTTCCTGGTTTCCTTATATAAGCATTACGGCTGAAGTTCTAAAGATCCAAGTTTTGATTTATTTTCATTAAGGTTCGATTTCAAGTGCTTGTTTGTAACTTTCTTTTGACCCATGAATTATTTCGAAGTCCATTGTCAAACTTGCAAAAATTCTCAGAAACCCAAAGAGCAAGGGAACCGGTACTTTATTCAGGCTGCTGCGACTGGGAGAACATCCTAGTGCACTGTCCCCTAGAGCTCACTCAAGAGTGCAAGCTCCTAGCAACTGCGGTTTGAGTCCCAGCTAGAGCTGAGCTACCGCTGAGCTTAGCTAAAAAAACCAAGCAAGACAAAAATGTATCAATCATTTTCCTGAGGCAAAATTAGGCAACTGAATGGTTTTCAATGTTGCAAAGACATAGGAGTAGAGATTATATAATCTGCTTATAAGATACAAAGTTCTTTTAATCTATTAAAATATAGCTATTGATTATACTTTTCATATCTTTTTTTACCTTTAATTGTTTTTGTTAGCTTGATCCATCATATTCTGAAAGAGGTATATTCTCCCACTATAAATTATGATTTTAACATTTTGTTCTATTTTTATGAATTTTTCGTGGTATTATTTGTGTTTGTGTAAAGGATTACATACATATTCATATATACATATACATATATACATGTAAACATATATTTATATATACATACACACATACATATACCGGGGTGCCAAAAAAATGTATACACATGACTTGTATTCATCTTTTGTTATTGGTATATATTGAGTATTACAATTTTAATAGTTTTCCTTTCTTAAGATGTG